ATATAATAAATCCTGTCTCTTATAAACATCTAGATGTGTATAAGAGACAGCCATGATCCCCTCCTCCCAGATCCACCAATGTGAATTGCGAGAAAATGTAACTCGGTCGGGTACTGGATAAACATTCTCTTTCCCATCCTTCTCCTTCTTCCCTCCTTCTTTTTTTGCATTTCCGATCATACAAAGTTTTCCAGACATTATATATTTTTCGCCAAAAAGTGGGGGGAGCCCCCCCTCCCCGGTTCCGCCGCCCATGCAGTGTATCTATATCGAAAAGAAGCCTTTGTTATCTTGAAAAGAAGCCCATGGGCTTCTTTTCGAGGCTTATTTTGCAAACTAAAGAGGGGCATCAATTCGAGATGGGCTTTTTCTCGAGAATAAGCCCATTGGGCTGCAATTCGAGGTTTTACGGTTTTATTATCAAATGATTAAACACGTTATAAATGGCAATACGAATAATTTTGACATATACATATACAAAAGTACGAAGGTTTCAACGGTAATATTAAATAATGCACGTTAGAAATACTAAAACGAATGATTTGGACAAATAATATACATTGTAAAGTATTTCATTTTAGTTTTTATTCAACTTTATTTACCGAGGGTGACCCAATACAGCGGTATGCTGACCATTATGGGGCCCTCATGTAAAACATATAACAACGTGTTTTTTTTTCTCTTTCGTAGGAGTTTAACCCACTTTTATTTCTTTCTCTTTTTGTTACTTTTCTTTTTTTTATGCTTCTAATACATATTTAAAAGAAAATGAATATACAAAATAAAAACAATTGCACTTAGGAGGGGTCAGTCCACAATGGCTGACTATCTTTCTTTTTTTTTTTTAACATCCTTCCACTTGTAATAATTTCTAAATATTTTTTTTTTACCAACATATAACAACGTTTCCGCAGCCTGGGTTTTAGCGGAGGGCATGGTCAAAGAACATGCCCTGGATTGAGCTTACTTTAACAAATAAATAAAATTAAAAAGACAAATACATGGATGGAGAATATCTATCTTGAAGAGCCAAAGTCACTTTTTTTTCCACCAGAGTTATTTGGAAACTTTGTAATTTAGTAATTTACATAAGCCTAAATTAAGGAATAATATATGTCCTACCACCAAACATGCATATCTATTTTACTTTAGGGATTTAAAAAAAGGATTACTGGAGAATTTCCTGGAGAAAAAAAGAGTGATAAGCCAATAATTTATTCTATCTGCCGTAATTGAATTAATATAATAGGCCTACCGGTAGATTATTATACTACCAAACAAGAAAAATTTATACAAAAAGTGAACAAAGTAACAAAATACTGCCCTCAATTGAGTAACTTGCTGAGCTGCCTTTTTCTTGGGCCTTCGAAAATCATCCTTAATAGTAGAAAATGCATTTACCTACAAAATATAATAAATCCGTCTAAATTTAAAACTTAGTATCATTTATGAAAATGAAATTGAGAGTGCAACATCACACTTTGAGTGTAACCATAAGTAATAGGCCCCTACGTTATTTTTGCAAGCTCATGTAGATACCATTGTTTCAAATGCTACTTCTATACTTTACAGTACTTTTTAAAGATGTTACGTCGAGTTGGCCTCTACCAAAATGCCCTTACTTATTTTAATATCAATATTACCAGACCTGTTATTGAATACGGTACCCTGTCCAAGTTTTGGATACTGGGCTTACTAAATTCCAATCTAATCAACTTGAATAGATTCAGCATAGGTCGTTTAGAATCGTTCCCAATGTAAGCTATGAGAAAACATTGACCCTGCATGATGTCCAGTGCTTTTTGACCAGCACACCCGACTATACAAGCAATACTTCCTGACACTAAAAGACCAGTCTCACAGGTTGAATTTCCTCTCACCGACGGCGCAAGCCCATAATTATAATTTCAGATCGACCAAACAATTTCATATCTCTAAATAGCGGAAATGCTATAAAAATGTCATAATAAAAACGCTCCTGGAGAGCCGCTCCTGTTTGGTAATAAATTGTTCTGACTTTTTGATGTTGATTGTTTTTGTAAAGATTTTACCATTTTGTACTGCAACTAATTAGTTGCGAATTTGACATATTTTGTAACAGATAACTGTTTATCCGGCACCTGTAGTAGACGGAATATTTATAAAAAGCAGTCCCGAGATTTTGATTCGAAATGGAGACTTTAAGACGGAGGCAACCATCATCGTCGGAACAAATAAAGACGAAGGAACACTTGCCTATTTGGTTTTACCAGACTACCAAAAACCAAGTACTCCGAATGTTTCCAAATCCGAGTTCCTTAATTTAATTCCAACAGCCTTTGTCCCGATTAAGGAAGCATCAAATCCCCATATTCTGGACGCTATATATTTTGAATACACCGATTGGTCTCAGTCAGATGACCCTGAAGCTAGCTATTTCAATTCAGGTGTTCGGTTGGCCACAGATTTTCAGTTTCTCTGCCCAAGTGACGCAGTACAGCGCGCGCATTTCTCAGTGGGTAACAAAGTGTTCGTATATCTGATGACCCATATTCCAAAGGTTTCGGTATTTGATGCTTATAATGAATATGCTCTTCCTTGGATTGGGGCTGGTCATGGAGAAGAACTCCAATTTGTGTTTGGATATCCTTTCCTTAATGGTTCATTTACATATTCTTTGGAACAGCCGTCTGATACTGACCGCAATGTGTCAGTGGAATTTATGAGATATTGGACGAACTTTGCAAAAACAGGGTAAGTTATATTCAAATTTTGAAGTTAAGTAAACTAAACTGGTTATAAGTAGTTTCATTTGGTTTCCAGTTAATAGAGAAATGTCTTAAATTAAACCAATATTGATTGTTGTTACTACGGCCGTTGTTAGCTTAACCTAACAACGACCGTGGAAAAAACAAGCAGCCCATACCTGACGAAGTCTGACAGTTGGACGAAACCAGCAGCCCATACCTGACGAAGTCTGACAGTTGGACGAAACTGTCATTCAAAAGAGTAAGTAATTGGTTTACAGTAAATTTGTTAAATTTCTCTATGAAACTCTAAACGAATTATAGCTAAAACTTTCAGCTATTTCTCTTTATGCCGTTAGTGATCCAAATACCAGAGGAAATGAGACGTCACACCATTCCTTCGATAAGGATCTTGCCGTCTGGCCAGAGTTTACAATTCCTGAACTTAATTACATTGATATTAATCCGACGTCGTCATCTGAACGAGCTTATCGAGCCGACAAGTGTGCCTTTTGGAGCACGTACGAGCCAAAACTCGAGCAATTTGCAGGTATGCTATATGAATAGGTCAACATACATGACGGTGTTAAACGTTGGAGTGTTTCTTGTAAAGTTTTATTGTGTTGTAAAGGTTGTCTGCTTAATTTATATTTAACTGAGTCATTATTTAGGCTGTCAAAACTATATTAGTAACACGATGTTGGAGTGCATCGTGCAAAGTTATATTTTGTTTTAGTAGAAAGTGCCGTCACAGTATTCAGATTTAAATGAATTTATGTTTATTGCTGAAAATACAATTCGGTTCTCATTTATTTCCTTAGCTGACATGTCCGAATCAGAAGAATTATGGAGGAACGATTACTACAACTGGAAGTATAACGACCTACCTGAGTGGCAGAAGGCGTTCGATGATTACAAAGAAAACAAAGTCTGCACCTAAATAACACGAAAATTGTAATATGTAGGTCTATGCCTAAATATTAGAATATATTTATAGAAAGATTGTGAATAAGAATTCTATTCAATTACTATAGTTTTTAATTCATGTTGTGTGTGTTGTTTTAATATTAGCGTGATTTAACATTTAATTAATTTATTTATTATTATTATTATCATTATTATTATAATTATTATTATAATAATTATTATTATAATTATTATTATTATTATTATTATATTATTATAATTATTATTTATTTTATTATTATTATTATTATTATTATAGACTTTAATATTAATAATAATAATAATAATAAATAATAATAATTGCCTTTAAAATGGCAATAACATACTAATTATGATTTTGAAAATAAAACATGTTCACCATTGACTAACATATAAAGGATGACCTGACGTACAAGTTGATAAACATGTATATATATGCAAATTATGTCGTAATGAATTTCCAAAAGGAGAAATAAAAGGAACTATGAACAGCGAGAATACCTTTGAGCATACTATTTTCATACTAGTCCGGCAGCCAAAGTGTTGAACAAAATCTAATGTTTTTTGTCTTAAGTTTTTTTGTTCGATGGACAATCAGTTATGAAAAAAATTGTTTACTGGACGCAGGGCAGCATTGAGCAATTTGAGATACCGTTTAATGGGCTTCTATTCGGGGCTGCTTTTGCAAAGGAAAAAAGGGGCTTATTTTTCTTCAAAATGAATGCTGTTGGTTCTAGGAATTACTACTATAACACAATAAATAGGGCCATTACTGTCAGTCTGTATCATGTAGTGTATTAACTGGCATTGTATCACCTAAGCTACTGTATTAGACCATGCGTGTTTTTAATTTATTTGTGTGTTTATTGTAATATTTCGAAAAGGAGCTCATGCTATCTTGAAAAGGAGTCCATGGGCTTCCTTTCGAGGCTACTTTTGAAAACTAGAGGGGACTTCAATTCGAGATGGGCTTTTTCTCGGAATTAAGCCCATTGGGCTTCAATTCGAGGTTTTACGGTTTGATTATCATAAACAAAATGTCCAACAAAATACCATAGTTTTTATATAAACACATCAAAATAGGCTAAGAAATTATTTTTTTTTGTTAAATTTTGAAATGAACATATCCAATCCAATCCGGTCATTATAGATATGAAGTGCTGCACCGGGATTCTTCTCTCGAGATTAAACCCATTGGGCTTCTATTCGAACTTTTACTGTATTAGCATAAACAAAATGGCCACAAAAATACCATAGTTTTTATATAAACACATCAAAATAGGCTAAGAAATCTCTTTTTGTTTAAATTTTAAAATGAACATACAACCAATCCAATTCAATCTGGCCATCTAAATAATAGTTTTTACTTCCAATTATATATAAATAACCGTTGTGGTCGAGTACCATATATAAATAATGACATCGTGGAAGACGAGAAATTTTGTCGGGGAATAAACAAATTGAAAAAAAAATGTTTCATGTAGTGTTCGTTACCACCATATTGTTTTCATTGAACTATTTGTGTTAAGTTTTCATCACAATAATAATAATAATAATAATAATAATAATGCCTATCAAATAAGTAATAAAAATTCGCCATAATTCGTCAAATATCCGTAGCTTCCAGGGAGTGAAGACCCCTGGAACCCACCGCAGTGGCGTATCTAGATGTCTTGAAATGGAAGGGGGGGGGGGCGAATGTGAAGAGGGGGTCTCGATGATCAGTTGAGGGGCGCTAATTCGCAAAATAATCTGATTTTAGGTGACTTTTAATTACTTGACCGTGATTTGAAACCAGTGTCAGCAAAAACTAAGGTAAGCATGTGGTTAACATAAGCAAGAATTTAGTCTAATAAAACTGTTTATCATCTTGATACCTTCCGACGAAAATTGACCCTACCGGCGTCCCCACTGATCGATCTAACGTGACGTTGTTATGTGGGTGTTTTATAGATTATTGAAAATGGTAATATCACCGACAAAATAGATAAAATGACATTTGAATGACCAACAAAGACAACTAAAGATGATAGGTCGTCATTAGAAGTTATTTAGTATAACTTTATTCGGATAATTAATCTCAAAATCGAGTTGCCGTCCCCGGCGTTGTCAGTGACGTCGTACGATTTGTGTGAGATTTTTACCAATTGACCCCTAAGTAAAAAATAGTTGAGCCATGTAGTACCTTGCAAATCAACCCAGAAACCCGGTAGTTTGTGATTGTTTATTGGTAGTGTCCCTTCGCTGCCAAAAATAGTTTTTTGGCAATTTAGTCCAATGAAACTGTTTATCATCTTGATACCGTCCGAGGAAAATTCGCCCTACCAGCGTCACCAGGGCGTCCCCACCGATCGATCTAACGTGACGTTGTTATGTCGGTGTTTTATAGATTATTGAGAATGGTACCGTAATATCACCGACAAAATAGATAAAATGACAGTTGAATGACCAACAATGACAACTGAAGACAATAGGTTTTCATTAGAAGTTATTTAGTATAACTTTATTCGGAAAATTAATCCCAAAATTGAGTTGCCATCCCCGGCGTTGTCAGTGACGTCGTATGATTTGTGTGCGATTTTTACCAATTAACCCCTAAGTAAAAAATAGTTGAGCCATGTGGTACCTTGCAAATCAATACAGAAGCCTGGTAGTTTGTTGATTGTTCATTGGTAGCGTCCTCGCTGCCAAAAATAGTTTTTTGGCAGTTGTGTCCCCGGTGACATCGTAAGGGCATGGTGAAGGCTGGTTACGATTTGGTGGTACATCGATTGAGTATTTTCATTAATCTGGCCGCAAAATTATTTTGCGAATTAACGCCCCTCAACTGATCATCGAGCCCCCACTTCACCTTCGCCCTCCCCCCATCACCCTCTCCCTCATTTCAAGACATCTAGATGCGCCACTGACTTACATGGCCAAATGAATGAAAATACTCAATCGATGTGCTACCAAGTCGTAACCAGCCTTCAATATAAGGATTTGTTACCTTTTTATTATTTATATATGATGGAATCAGTGAACTTATTATATATGATAAATAATTGTAAGTTATTTTTCATTATTTATATATAATGATGTGTTATTTATATATAATGAAACCAGTAACATTATTATATATAAATAATGTTTGGTTAGCCTTTCATCATTTATATATAATGTAATCAGTAAACTAATTATATATAAATAGTGAAACGTTAACGCAATTATTTACATATAATCATTTAGACGTAAATGCATTATATATAAATAATGGGTGATTCCATGTTAAATAATGAATTATATATAAATAATTGTGTTAAATAATAGATTTACACTTAGCGCCTCAGGGTCGTGACAAAGTGCGAGCCAGCGAGTCATGCACATGGCCGGCGGAAGCGGGGGTGGGGGCGGGGGGCCCGGTCCCCCCACTTTTTGGCGAAAAATATATAATGTCTGGAGATTTTTGTATGGCTGCTGAGAAAGTTTACCTTACCGTTTTCATGAGGGGGAAAGCCTTGAATTTTGAAGAACAAAGTCATTAGACACCTAGCTCAAAAGTCGAGAAAGGTCATTTCCCGCCATCTAGAAATCAAAATTTTCTCGGGGAAGGAATGTTGACCCCACCACCTAGATTTGATTCCAGATCTGCATGATTCATATTCCCATTCATCTTATAAGCAGTGGCGTAAAAGGCGGGGGCCAGGGGGACAGACTGCCCCCCCCCCCGACGGTTTTTACCGGGCTGACCAAGCCGTCGTACCGGGCTGAGTAAGAAGAGAAAAGAAAGAGGAGAGAGGAAGGGAAAGAGAAAGAAGGGGAAAGAAAAAGAAAGGAAAAAGGAAAAGAAAAAGAGAAGAGAAAAATAGAGACAAGAATAAAAAGGAAGATATAATGAACAGATATCACAATACCCCGCCTGCAGCCCCTTCTCCACTTCAAAAAGTGTCCATATCGCATTTGATCTAAGCCGCCAGGTATTCTCCGCAGTGGTGTAATCACCGGGGAACAAGGGGAAAATATCCATCTGTGGAAAATCTTTCCCATTGAATGCCCTTTTCACCCGGGAAAGTGCCAGAAAATCTCAAATTTTAAATCCAATATTTTGTTGAGGTAGGCCAATTTCCTCTAAAAATTAATTGCACATTTTAGGGAGTTTTGATCAATTCCGACGAAATTAGAAAACAACATTTTTCGCGCGCTACGCGCGCATTTTTTAATGTTAAAGCTTGTGCTTGCTCTCCTTTGCCTTATAAATTATAACACATAGTCCCAAACTCAAGAAAGAAAATTTAAGGATAGATCGTTTATAAAAGAAGGGCCTCAATGTGTAATGATGTTGAAAGAATATGTTTGTACTAAATAAATCCATAAGGAAAATGCTTATATTCAGTTAAAAAAAACGAGTGTGGCCATATATAACATAAGAGCATTTCTTGTTGAGGTAGGCCAATTTCCTCGCGCGCTTCTCGCGCATTTTATAATGTTAAAGCTTGTGCTTGCTCTCCTTTGCCTTCTAAGTTATTTAAAAACATAATAGTCCCAAACTTGAGAAAGAAAATGTAAGATAGATCGTTTTACCTAAAAGAAGGCCCTCAATGTGTAATGATGGTGAAAGAATAGGCCTATGATTGTAATAAATAAAACTACGATGAAAATGCTTATATTTAGTTTCAAACACACGTGTGTAATAATAAAATAAGCCCTATGTCGTATTGTTTTCTATGTGTGTGTGTGGGGTATCACATCAAGTCATAAATTACTAACCGGGAAAAATATTACCTTTGCCGCCACCTCCCTGACCCAAGACCCCTGTTACGCGCCTGCTTATAAGTGGGCCTCCCCCCACCCCACTTTGAAAAACGTTCCGCCGGCCCTGTAATGCGAGCCAATGCGCGAGCCATGCGAGCCAGCGAGTATGCAACGCCGATAGAGAAAGTATGCAACGCCGATAGAGATGTTGTTAAAATACAGATAAAGATATACATACATACAGATATATTTATATATAGGCTTTTATACTGTATTTATTTATATATTTATATATATATATATTATTTTATATATACTGTATATATTTATATATTGATTTATATATTTTTATATTTATTTGTATATTTATTGTTTATTGTTTATTTTTTTGTTTATATATTTTTTTGTACATTTATTTATATATTTATTTGTATATGTATTTATATATATTTATATGTTTATATATTCATTTATATAATTTTTTAAATTCGTTTATATATTGTTTGTATATTTATTTGTATATTTATTTATATATATATATATTAATATGTTCATATATTTATTTATATATTTATTTGTATATTTATATATATATATATATTAATAAGTTCATATAATTTTTTATATATTTATTTGTATATATGCAGCGCTGATAGAGATGTTGTTAAAATACAGATATACATATACATACATACAGATATATTTATATATATACTGTATTTATTTATATATTTATTTATATATATTACTTTATATATACTGTATATATTTATATATTTATTTATATATTCATTTATATATTTGTTTGTATATTTTTTGTACATTTATTCATATATTTATTTGTATATGTATTTATATATATTTATATATTTACATATTTTTTTATATAATTATTTAAATTTTTTTAATA